TATGTTTCTTTGTTATAAAGATCACTTTCTGACCAAATAAAAAAATTATAATGTTGAGAACAGGATGCTGAAGATAATTTTTGGCTCTAAGAAGGAAGAAGTGATGAAAGACTAGAAAACTTTGCACAGTGAGGAACTTTGTAATTTGTATTCTCCTCCAAATAATATTAGGGTATCAAATGAAGCAGGATGAGATGAGTGGGGTATATGCATGATAGTGAACTGAAGATGGAATTTTGGTCATAAAACTTGAATGGAAGAGACCATGTGAAAGATACGAAAATGTAGGATAATATTAAAATGGATATAAAATGAGAAAGTGTGAGGGTTGGGTTTATGACGCTCAGGATAGACATCATGTGAACATGGTAATGAGTCTTCAGGCCCCATGAATGGTTGATAATTTTTTCACTACATAGCACCCGTTTTTAAGCTCCTCAAGGAGGACTCTGTTCCTTGGAGTAAATTAACACGCAGTCGTGACAGGTGAGTTTTTTGTGCGGTGCGGTGTGTTGTGTACATTGCGATTACATATGGGTCATGGGCATGTTTCATTTGTCCTTACACATTCCCCTCACCCCTTTCTTGCATGTAACTGTTGAGGAATGCCTACGTGATTTGGCCTTGACGGTCATACTATAACTGTAAAGTGTACCGACAGTTTACACTTGTACCATATAATGACGATTCGGCATGTGAACTAATGCGTCTTTATTTGCTGTCGTTTTGGCGTAATGGAGAGGCGAATAGGATGGACGATTTTTCATTCTATTATGTGAGTAGCGAAAATAAGTGGACGGATATTTAGAATGTGGTCTTCAGGGTTGTTGCGCCGTATGTCTGTTCTTGTGGCTGTGTTCCAACGTTACGGAATAAATAAAAGTCTAAATACGCTCCGCCATGAAAACTCAAATCCTCCATCCCAAAGAATGTGTTCTGTTTCGCTAGGCTGGAGCTGAGGATGTCGTAGTGCTGTCTAAAAAAAATGGTCCAGCAACAACAGCTCATGCGTAACATTGAAAACGGTATCGCCCTAGTGATCACTGGGTCTTTATTCTGTTCCACACCCATGCGTTTGACTTCAGCCCTCCATTTTGTGGACAGTTGATGTATCACCCCCCCCCCCCCCCCCCCCCACTGTAATTATTCAGTAAGACTTTGATGCGCAGAGCTTTTATGCTCTTCACCCTCTCGTGCGTTCTCATGGCGTGTGCTTCATTAAGCTTTATCCTTTGCCATACTAGGTGGCCCGCAGCACCATGTCAGTGAAATGAGAGCAAGATGAAAATGTCACCCTTCATATATATTTTGAATTTGTTTTGTGTCTGGATACGTTTCTAAATGGTTCATATTTTGATCATAGCAGCGGCGTGTGAGCAAATCATTCATTATGTAATTTGAAAGATTGGTTTCTTGGACCGTTTCCATTGTCAAAATGAAAAATAAAAACGCAGTGCTTCAGAATCTGAATCTTCTTCAAGAAAAAAGGAAAAGGACAAACTCTAGCAGTTGGGCCCCCAGCTTGAGTTAGACCTAAACGTTGTTTTTGTTTGTAATACCGTTCTAATTTGATTTCCTTTCGAAGTGCCGAGCATTTTTTTTAAATATTTAATTTTCTGATTGGAAACTCCTGAAGGAAAGCGTTGCAATTGCTCCAGTGAATTGTGATCTTTTAGATTATATTAATCCAAACATTATGGCGGAAACGACGTTTTGCAGTTTTAATTGATGTTGACATAAAGATAACTGGAATACTGCGCTTCCTTATAGAGGAGGCATAATGCGGCATCCGTTTTATGCCTTGACGTTAGAGCATTTTCACGCCTAAATAGTTATCAGTTACTGTGGCGTGGAATTTTGTTTTCTTAGTTACCGCAACATTCCAAGGCTTCCTTTACTTCTGATACGGATTTTGCTTTTCGGAAGTGGTCTGACTTGGAAAGGCCGTCGTCTGGATATTCGCCTGCAACAAATGGGCTTTGCCCCTGCTTCAACCTCATCCTTCTACATATCTTGTGTTAATGTGACAGTTATTTATACGTTTCAAATTACGTATTTTGCGATACGAAGGGCGCGTTTCTGTTCTGTAGGTAACGAACAGATTTTTCATGTTCGCTACTTTTAATCTCTAGTTTGTACCAGGACAGTTCCTTCTAGAAATCATGTAGCACAGTGGTGTAAGGAGTGTCCTACTCATGCACCGAGTAATAAGATACATGTGCTATAAAATGTTACGTACACTGTAATCGAGTGTGAAGCGCTCTGGTTAGATAGATTGTTAACGATGTGTTGAAACCTGTTGTAATTTGTTAAGACCCAGATAAGAGCCCTGTCGACGTTGCATGACATTGATATATGCCGGTCTCGCATGCCGAGCGATCACATCGCTATTTTCAAAATTCAGGCAAGATTTGAAATGCTGATTTCGCCATAAGGCTGTAGTCCATTCCTTTCAGCCCACTTGGTAAACAAATGTCGTTACCTTGCCTGTATTTGAAAGCTGTAAAGATAAGTAGATGCACATGCTGTTGGTTTCTTCAAAACACAATACAAAATTCTTTGAAGCATCAGTAATTCTGAGATTTTAGACAATTCCACCCTTGAGCTAGACGCAGCAGTAGATTCGGCTTCAGAGAGGGGATCAAAGTATTAACCTACTTAAGTAGGTGGTTGAGGGGGGCTTCATTGGTCGATCGGTAATGTCGCAGGACGTGTAACAGCAAATTATTTAGAATTGGGGCAGACAGAACTTATAGATCACTCAAAACCTTTTAAGCTCCAAATATTGTATGTGAAAAAGCGAGAGAGGTGTACTTGATTTTGTGAAGATCGGCAGTGTCCAATTCACATCAGAAGCTCCATAGGTTCTACAGTGTATGAAGTGTTATTTTAAGCTCATATAGCAGAACAGGTGTGTGATTTAACAGTATGGAAGAAAAAGATGTTTACTTTTTGCATATGATAAGGGAATATTTGCAAGTTGTTTTGAAGCTGTGGTATGAGGAAATATGTAGGTTTATTGCTACAGCATGAAAGTTCCACAGAATTCTGCTCTGAACTGTCTCAAATCATTTTACATCACTTCACCTGTTTCAACATTTGTTCTGGTACTGCCTTCCTCGAGGAGGTTTTTTCACCTACCTGAAGGTGATTAATGGAAATTTTGAGGTTCCTCCTCATCTTATTATTCTCTTTGTTCACTAGTGAATTCTGTTCTTGTTTGCCCATATATTATTCATAATAAGATGGAAGTTTTACCAACCACATACAATAGTGGATGGAATTGTAACTATACTGGCATTATTTTGGGTTGTAAACTAGAGGATGAAAGGTCTTGGACTGAGTAACACTGCAGAATTTGTTCGATTTTAATTTGATACTAACTCAAAATTAGTTTTGTAATTCTTAGTGTTGACATTGAAGTTGGCCAGATGTTTTTCTAAATAAATGTAAGAATTGTGAATACCATTTGTAATATACATCACAGTTGAAAGTGTACTGTGTATATGTAAGTAGAGAACTGTATTGTCATTGGTAACATTCAACAGCCTTCAATGTTTGGATTTCTTCATGCTATGCATATAACATGAGCCCCGATGTTTGACAATCGTGGATGCAAACCTGACAATATAGCAGTTTGCAGCTCATGGTTATAGGTTTTTAAGTAACAATTAAAATCAAGATTCATAAACAAACTGTGTAAATAACATTTTAATTTAGAAATTGGTTTCTGCTAAGATAGCATCTGGTCATGATGTGGTTATAAAAGTGATTGTTCCATTAACTAAATAGTGGTGGATACCTGTTAAGAGTGCTGTTGCAAATTAACCTTGCATCATGGCTATGAAGGTTGTGTTAAGACTTTTATGACATTTGATATATACATTAGGATGGTACATTGTTCTTGAAGTGGGGTGGAATGAGCTGTTCTGTTCGTGTTTATCTGTACATGATACTGTGCCGAAATGAATGGTTGTGTTACATATGTTTATTATATTTATTTTACTTTCATAAAATTGAAAAGGCTAGAACTTGAGCAGGGTTTATTTTGGACTTGAGGCCAACCCCAAAACTTGGGAGGCAGACAAATTTTATTGCCATCAAGGTTTTGTGTTATATTTTATTGGTTTAAAAATGAATATGCTGCCGATGAATGGAATGAAGTAATGAATACTCCATGTTATCCATGCACAGGTTTTTGCACACCTGATGTAGTGGCCTAGAAACCAGGGTAACCTTGACTTCAGTGTCACTGGGGAGGTGGGAGAGTGTTACATAGGATTTTATTTTTATTGCATAGTATGTTATTGTTGTTGAATTGCATTTTAAATGGTACATTCTGTATTATGCTCTAATTTTTTTAATGAACAGGTGGTTTGTAATTTCTGTCATTTGTCAAAGGTGTGGTCTGAAGTAATGCTATGTATGAGATATATCCAAAAATTAATTATACCCTTAATTTTTTTTTGGCGTGAGGGGGGAATGTGTAATTTGTTGCAAATATCTTAACATTCCTACCTTAAATGTTGATTGGACATGGATCAAATTCTGCCTGATCATCTTTGCTGATTGCACGCATAGGAAAGAATACTCTATCTTGGCTAGAAGCTTGTGATTTAATGATGTACATATTATTTTGTTGTATTTGTGAAGTTTATACTTGTTTCTAGTGGTGATGATGCAGATTATTCATTGCTATGATGACAGTTTATTGGTTAATAGGCATATGTGTGTTCACACTTTAGCTGGACAAAGTTTAAGATGGCTCTGCAAGTAGATGAACTTGAAATGAGTATGTTAAAGTAGTGATAATAGGTTTCTAACAGTTACTTCTTATTACATTTCAGGAAGCAAAAAATTTTATTTTGCAGATGGCTTGAGGAATCATGGTGTATTATCCTTATTGTTACTCAATATTTAAGATGTTATGTAAATCTAGTAAAAGATTTGTTGATGTCTAATGTGGTAATGCTGACACGAATATGATGTACTATGTGCAGGCAGAGAGTGAAGTTGCTGCCCTGAACCGTCGCATCCAACTCTTGGAAGAAGACCTGGAGAGGTCTGAGGAGAGGTTGGCCACTGCCACAGCAAAATTAGCTGAGGCTTCACAAGCTGCTGATGAATCTGAGCGGTATGTTACGTTCATCTAGTTGTTTAGTGTAGAAATGAACAGACATGTTTATGTTTTTGTATATTCTTTTATTGCTCTCTAATGTACAAAATTTGCACTAATACCCAGTGCAAAAGCAGCTCGCCAAATACCTGGCATCATTTTGTTAAACAAAAGTCTGAATTATTATAGTTTAAATTTCTGTATAAATGGTTTCTGTGAAAGGCCTTGTTGGGTTGATTTGTACTAGACATTGGACAGACAGGATTTTCAGAGACTGTAAAATTTAGATATGGGAGTTCATGTATTAGAAATTTTGGAATTTATTTTTGTGTACTTGAATGTAGAGTTTTTAATAACACATTTAACTTCTTTGTTGTTTGAATTGTTTCTATTATGGGGGTTTTCTTTCATGCCATTGCATGAAGCGGAATTTTACAGCTGATGTATAAACCAGTTTTTTTTTCTGCATACATCCCTATAATCTATTTGTTTAATTAGGAGAAGCATCAGTTCTTCAAATATGCTCCTGTGTTTGCCTGTTCATCTTCTTCTTCTATGGCTGTCTGGTCTGTATTCGGTCCATGATCTCCTTAATTCTCCTCTTCCATTCGGTTGTCTGTTAGGTCCGTCTGTCTGAGGCTTTGATTGAGGTTTGCCTGCTCATACATAATTAAATACACATTCAAAGTATGTTTTAACTTTGCCAGGAGGAGGGAACATATGCAAGCTACATTGACTTTTATAAACATACGAGGTGCGATCGGAATGTTTTCAGACTGTGTCAATAGAGGGCGAACCGGATGTAGTACGAGCTTCTGCCGCTAGGGGGTGCGGCCTACATTCATAGTGAATCAGTGTGCCAGCCGGCATCATCGAATTAGCATTTGTTTCTTAGTTACGGGCGTTTTGGTAGTGCATTACACCGACCCTCCTGCGATTTCGGAATGGCGGATTTTCATGAACAAAGAGTGTGCATCAAATTTTGCCAAAGACTCGCCAAAACGGCTAAGGAAACCTATGAAATGCTAAAGCAAACATTTGGGGAGTCCGCAAACTTTTGTGTGGCATTCACGTTTTAAAAATGGCCGAACCTCTGGCG